GTTTTACTGTAACAATTTTCGAAATGTTAAACTCCTAAGTTAGTCCCTCAATGATTAAATAGACTCCTGAGTTAGTCCCTTAAATAAAAAAAAAACCTCTAATTTAATCCCTAAAATTTTGGCAATTTGGCTCCAAGTTGATATCTCATTAAATTTTATTTAGCTTAGGTGTCTGGTTAATTAACAATGGAATTATAACATGTTAAAAAAATTTGACACATAGGATTTACAACATGACAAATTGCATGACATGACAAGAAATCAGTGAATTTAATGAATTAAAATATATATTTATAATTTTGCAATTTTTTTTTGCCCATCTTTTATTTCTTCACCTCTTCTTCCTCAAAACCCTAATCTTCTTCTTCATTCTTTCTCCCCTTCCTATCGCTTCCTCAAAACCTTGAACTCAAATCCATCATCTATGCATCTCTGCTTGATTTGCTTACTTTGTCTAGTAATATGGACTATTGAGAAAGCTTCAATCTTGATCTTGCTAATGTACTTCTTCACCCTCTGGTTTGGGTCTTGATCCTCTTAGCACTAGATGAATCTGTGGTATCATCGCTAATAACTAAAATTTGAACAATTCTTGGGGTTTTGAGGCTGATAGAGTCTATAAAAATCCACTCTCACAAACACCCTTCTATTTTGAACCCTACCTACAAAAATCCCAAAATTCCCTTTTTCTTTACCATTTATTTGGCAAATCTATAAAGCAAGATTTACAATGTTCCACCCTTTTTCCTCTTTGAATTTCCTTTCTTCACTTGCAACCTCACAACAATCATCATGAACCTCTGATAATCTCATCTGCCATGCACTTTGGTAACTCATTTTCTCTATTTCCAAAGTTTCTTTTTCTTCCTTAGAATATAAATGAAAAATGATGGATTTCAATTTTGTTCCATTCAATTTTAGGGAGGAGATTTTTTTTTCTTGTATTAATCTTATTCAGTTTTATTAAATGTGGTTCTGTGTTTTTAGCTTTGGACTTGAATTTGAATTTGATTCATCTAGTATCACTCATAAGTTGAAAAATGGAGATCAATTATTACACTTTTGATTTTTTTTTTTATTTAATCTGATGCATTTTTCATTTTTTTCATTTTATGTTATGCATTTTGATTCCATTAATCCCAAAATCCCCTTTTTCTTTCCTCTTTTTTCTTCAAAACAGTGAAGAAGAAGAGGATTTTGGGATTTTGGATTTTGGGATTTTTTTTGCAAGTAGGGTTCTTTAGGATTAAAATGGGAAGAAAGGGGAGAAATGTTTTGTTGTTAGTAATGAGTTCTATTTTTTCCAAGGTTGGGTGGAAATTACATATAAGATGTTATTTTGCCATGTCATTGTTTTTTCCATGCTGCAAATCATAGATATCAAAATATTTTAACATGTTATCTTGCTCTTGTGTAGTAACGAGACACTTCATTGGATTTTTAATGAAAAAATTAGCTTGGATGTCAAATTACAAAACTTTAGGGACTAACTCAAAGATTTATTTAGTTGAGGGTCCAACTCAATGCTTTATACAATAATTGAAGGACTAACTTAAGGGTTTAACCTTTTCAAAATTATTTTTCTGGCATAAATTTTTTTATTAAATTCTTAATATCCGATAATCAAATTATATTTTAATTAATTTAAAATTTAATCATATTGAACTCTATAAAAAAAAATTCTTTTAATACATATTTTTTTATTCATAAAATTTAAAATATAAATTTTATTTAGGAATCGATCTCCTTTCAATTATTCAGAAGAATAATTCGCTGGAGGCAAAAATCCTTCACTCGCGCTGCTATCACGCGACTTGTCCCGCGGAAACAAATAAACAGGGTAGTGTTATTGAAATGTTGTTTTTTTAATAATTTTCGCATCTCATTAAATAAAAAAATTGTATTTAATAAATATATATATATTTAATATTATAAATTTTATATAAAATAAAAAAATTAATTATTTTAATAGTAAATCAAATTATAAAATAAAATAATTGTCCCAGTACCATTTCTCCACGTTAATATATCTGATTTTTCATTTTCCACTTCTCGCGATCCATCCTTCAGTTTCCGACACTATTGTTTCCGATAATTCAAACGGAATTCATCCAAATCCTCCTCAATGTACCCGTCATTGAACAACCTCAAGAAGCGGCCACGTGTGGTCCTCCACCACCACCACCTCCTCTCCGCCACCGCCACCGCCACGCGTCTCACCTCCACCGTGGGTGATTCTTTCCCCGACAAAACCCTTTATGAATCCTCCCAAAAGCTCCGCCGCAGTTCTTCCTCCTCTGCCATAAACATCTCCTCCGCCAACGGTACGGAAACCAATTCTTCCTTCAACGACCCTTCCACTGCCGACGTCATCCTCCACCTCTTCGTCGATTCATCACCGTTCGATTCCTCCACCGAATCTGACCGCAACGATGACTCCGATGTCCAGATCTATCTCCATTCCCACGTTCTCACCCGCTCCAAGTACTTCGCCGCGCACTTATCCGACCGATGGCAACACCAGAGAAATAACAACGGCAATGTCTCCCCGGATTTCGGGAGTAATCACCTGATTCATCTCAATCTTGCTGTTCCTGACCATCCCAATTCTATTTCAATCCATTTAACCGTCATCAAGCTGCTTTACAGCGGCGATTACGCCACGGTCATCGACTCAGCATCCACCGCTCTTGAAATCCTCCCCGTTGCTCTCGAGTTGTTGTTCGAGGATTGCGTTAAATCGTGCGTCAGATTTTTGGAGGCGGTGCCGTGGACGGATGAAGTGGAAAAGAGAGTGTTGGGTCTGGTACCATTCTTGCGTGAGGAGGAATCTAAGGAGCTTCTGGCTAGGGTTTCTCCGGCTAAGGATGATTCGTGCGAAGAGATGTTGGACGGCTTAATTTTCGCGGCGATTCATAATCATCCCAACATGGCTTTTGTTAAAGCATTTGTGGCGAAGCTGCTGAGGGATTTCTCGTCGAGGGAATCGGCGAGGTGTGTTCTGGAGAGGGCGTTCGAGACCAGCTTAAGGACCGTGAAGGAGAGCCTGGAAGAGTATTCGAGCCCTGATTTTACCAGAGGGGACCATAACGAGACGGAGGCGATACAGAGGTTGAATTTGCACAATGCGATGACGAACGGGAAGCACTTGTTGTGGCTAGTGGAGAGGATGATTGAATTGAGGGTGGCAGATTCAGCTGTGAAGGAGTGGAGTGAGCAGGCTGCATTTACTGCGGACTTGCAGAGGGCCTTCCAAGATGATGCCTGGAGAAATATTGTCCCAGGACTCCCTGCGGTGGTGCTTCGTTGCACTTGTAAGCTCGCTGATGCTGTCTCTACCGGGACCATATTAACTGCTAGACAGGTATAGACTTTCAAGCTGCCACATTTTATTCATGAAGTTTAATTATTATGACAGAAATTGCAAAGTTCAGAACTTGTTTGAAGTGGATAACTATTTTATTTTGAAAATTGGGAACAATTAGAGCGTGCTATTTATTTGTCATTTTCAATTTGGTTATTCATCTTCTGCTGTATGCTTTCCTCCTTACCTTAGAAATGCTAATGTTTCCATTTTGTTTGAATTCCTCCTTACTTTAGAAATGCAAATGTTTCCATTTTGTTTGAATTATGGGGACAAAATGGGGGGAAGGAGGTTGATTTTAGGATGTTACAGGTTTACCTTTAATCTATGTACAAGTTTTGAGAAATTTTAATCTTCTTCTCCAGGCTCTTTTCTAGTTGCAATAGAGGCCAATCTGAGTGGGCTCTAATCTGAATTTGTTATTCCCAGATAGGTTCAGCATACCTCTGAATTATTGGTTGATTGCAACTGTGAACTTGTAGCATTGATGGGTAACATCAATCGGATTTTGATATTGG